TAAAAACTCACTCAGCGACGAGCTGTGTAGGTTAAAGGACCCAGTTGAACCAATTAGACAAAATAATATTATTTACAAAATACCCTACAATGACTGTGAGGTCAACTACATAGGTCATACTAGTAGGTCGGAGGTAGTCAAATTATCGGAACATAAGAATTTAGCTAAGGTTAGAATGGTTGACCTCAAGAAGATGAGTAATTTAGAAAAAAAACTCGGCAGTCGCACTGCACGCATTAACACACAACGACACAATAGCATGGTGGGAGAGGGTTAAATTTCTAAAAGTAATCTAGCTAGGTGGAGAGAGAGAGGTTGATTACTGAATCCTTGTTCATCGAGTCTACACCTAACACAACACATGCAATAGGAATGAGTCATCACTCATACCTGAAATATGGAAAATACTACTACCAATCAAATCAAGCGAAAAATAATGGAACTATACAAATGAAGTTGGGAAGTCGTGTGAGTACCTTGATATGATTATGAGTGGCAATAAATTGTGCTCGAGACCTGGTCATCAGTAAACATTACAGTATAACACTCTGAGACCTTATCAAAACAAAACTTTACCCCTAATGGAACTATACTCTACCACAGTGCACAAGTTTTATTCTTATATCAATAAAATCCAATAAATAGTCATTTTTCATTACTAATATTTTGTTTTACAAAGAGTACTCATCACACTGAATCACACTGGTGGTTGGGTTTTTCCTTCAACTAAACTACTATTATTATACAATTGGCGGCTGGTGGCTAGGATTCCACTGCTAGCCACCATCCGCCAATTGTATACTAATTAAATGCCCAGACATCGTCGAAGCATCTGCACAAGAAGCCGACATGTCAACCTGAGACCGAGCACTTCGGTTCAATCAATCGACGGAAAAATCAAAAGTTCAATTCAATAAACTAATATTATTATTATCACAATTCAATGTTATAAGAACAAATTTCTATTGCGAGTTGTAATCACTTATCAATTAGTTTGTTGTAAACTGTTGTTGTCTGATATTGATTCAATGGTCAGCTCTATATATTACCCCAATAGAAGAAAGAGATACGGATAAATTTGCGAGATAAGAAAGCAAAGCGTGATTATTCATCTAACTTAACTAACATCAATATCTAATGATTACACAGTGCAGTGCACCGGTAGTGTTAAATATTCTCTTCAACGATTCAATACTCTATACTCTCTCTCTCTCCCGTGCGCCCTCTCTCTCTCTTTCTAGTGATCGATAATAAATTTGTCTTTTACAGGAATAATTTTTTACAAATTAAACTAAAAAATATCCGCTCAGCTAAGTGTATTCAACTGCCTTTTTTTCTTACAATCACAATAAATATGTGCAATGCACCATACCATGGTATCAAAATATAAGCCAAGGACTAAAATCAACTGATCACAAACTGGATCAGATTTATATATTACAGCACAGCGTTTAGGACGCTCGTGGAACATGCACATGGTCCGTGATTCGGGGATCCCCAGCCACCGACGAGGCACTCCTTTACCTCGCTTGCTAAGCCAGTAATAAAGATAGTAAAGTAGAAAAGTTGGGCATGCGGCTGGCTAGCAACCCCATTCTGTAAAAATAAACACCACTGCTACAGAAACTTCAAGCCTCTAGCTTGAAGGTACCCTATGTTCCACTGGGAATGTGGAGAAATAAAACAAAAAACATGTGAAAACCATGTGAATGTGTTAGGGATGTTTCTTAAGTTTTGCTTTAACGAGTAGGTAGGTATATTCTGACTGGAATTGGATGCCATTTTACACACGTTCCCTTCCTCCTCACCTTGGTGCTGTTAACACGCATACATTATTCTTCAGAGTCAGTAATAAAGCCATATATTAGCGACATAAGTCGCAAAATCTTTTCCCTGAATAACCTTAATATTTTTTTCTACTTAAATGTATTGCTCATCAGAGTACATTTCTAAAATACTTGAGTCTTTTTGATGTGATTGTGTTCTCTGAGCTGAATAGTTGATTTGCGAAGCTTTCATCGCCCTACTAGGCGACAGCTTCAGTGCATAATTCAATTTGTTCAAGTGAGCTTTTAGATTTCTCCAAGAGTTTATTTATGAATCATCTCTTCCGGTGATATTGGACGTGACTGGTTATTTTTGTGTGTTTTCACACCTTCTAGGCAGCTACTTGTATTGGAATTGATTGTTTCTTTGACTTGAACTTTGACCCTTTGTATGACAAAGGGTTCCCATTACAATCTAAATCTTGAACCCACCTTTTCAAATGCTACCACCAATCTAAAATGACTTCATGGATTTTTTAGACATCATCAAAGCGACCGTACTAAGAAGTGGCATATCAACACAGATGGAGTATTTTGGTATAACATAATCAAATGATGAGAAGTGTAAAATTAAATTGGAAACAAAAGCCTACTTTGAAATGTCTTTATTGTCCAAATAACTTCAATCCCTTACAGAGAGTAGTACTACTAACACCTCAGTAGGTTTATTATAGTTATATGAAAACCTGGGAGTACTGGACAGTTGTTTCGTCCTAGTTTGGGAATCTTCATCAGTTTGAACCCCTGTGGGAGCGTACTGCTGAAGAGTTCCAAAACTAGGACGAAACAGCTGTTCAGTACTCTCAGGTTTTCCAGTAGTTCTCTAACTGATGTAAGCTCATGATGAAATCCTCCACGTAATCAAACAAAATCCCCACAAAACCAATACTTGAAAGTTATAGGAAAATGAGAAGGGCTTGGTTGGAGTAAAACTTCTTCATAATAACCGACGCCTGAACAAGTCTACTGGAATAAACAATATTATTATGTCAAAACTACCCAGCTGACAGAAAGACTTACAGAGAGACAGCTATTTATACATATAAGAAACAGATTCCCTGTAGTATTCATTACGAAACAGCTGTCCAGTACTCCCTGGCTGGTTTTCCAATGCTTCTCTAACCAATATCAGCTCATGATGAAATCATCAATCACCAATCAATCAAATCCCTACAAACCAACACTTAAATATTCATTACTTTCTCATATAATACTATGAAAATCTGGCTCTATATGAACACATAAATGTTAGCTATGAGAGACTAATGTGATGTTTAAACTACTTAATATGGTTTAAAATATACCTGAGAAACTAAAGCTCCGTAGGTAAGCAAGCATATTATATGAATGAACAGTTAAATATATGTACTTTCTCTGAATAACCTTAATATTTTATTCTACTTAAATATATTGCTCATCAGAGTACATTTTTGAATACTTGTGTGTTTTTGACTTGTGCTTTGTTATCAGTACATACAAGTCAAATGGTGTACTGATTTACTGAGCAGTTAGACATATCGCGTTAAATAAGTTTGGTATTATTATTGTAACTATTGTTTCCTTTAATTCCTAAAGGAACATAGAGCTTCAGCCGCACGGAATTAATTGCAAAGCAACTTACGCAAGCTTTAAAGACAATGAAGAACAATCATCTCATTCGTGAAGAACTGTACGAGAAGATCAGACCAACACGATCTCTAATACCAAGACTTTATGGTCTACCGAAGATACACAAAGCTGGCTTTCCATTTCGTCCTATCTTGGATATGTCTAGATCACCTTACCATCCAGTAGCTGGATGGTTAGCTGAAATCCTCAAACTTGTCAGGGGACAACGATCTAATCATTCCCTTAGGGACACCTTCCAATTTGTTGAATGGTTAAAGGATACAGATGCTTTGAATAAACACATGTTGTCTATGGATGTGGAATCCCTATTTAGGAACGTTACACTGACAGAAACCATATGTTTTATATGCAAATATATTTAAGACAACAAATTGAATATAGGGGTATCCACTACAGATCTGAAAGAACTACTTTTGAGATGCACATTGAATGTACAGTTTACTTTCAATGAAACAATCTACAGACAAAAGGATTGTATTGCAATGGGTTCTCCCTTAGGTCCTCTCCTTGCAGACTGTTTTATGTCCAGTCTAGAAAATGGTCAGTTGAAGTCAACAATCCAAAGCTTTCAAATGTATGAAAGGTATGTAGATGACACCTATATTATTTGTAATAGTGATTGTAATTTGAATAATATATTAAATTTATTTAATGGTTGCCATTCTGCAATAAAATTCAAACTCGAAATGGAGAACGAGTCTAGTAGTCATTTCCTCGATGTGAACTTATCAAGGAGGACCGATGGAACTCTGAAGAGATGATTATTTATCGAAAGCTATTATGGAATGGTCAGCTGACAAATTTCTACAGCTGGGTACCCATTGGTCGAAAATGAAACCTGGTCCAGTCACTTGCCACTCGCATTCGGCGCACATGTCGCCCTGATCCTGTGGAAGATGAGTTATGCCTTTTGAGGAAAATCCTAAAAGAAAATGGATTTCTACCATGTTTCATAGATAAGAATATACATTCAAATCCTACAAAACGTGATTTATCATCCGTATCCAAGAAAATACTTTACATGAGCTTTGAATTCAAAGGGGACTTAGCTTCCAATATCATGGAATGAAAGATATCACAGTCCGTGAAAAGAACATTCCCTGCTGCATCTGTGAGAATAGCCTTTACTAGCCGACCAATCACTGTTCAATAACCTGAAGGACAAGATCCGGCTGTTGACCAACTCTATGTGTGTTCATCAATTCACCTGCTCAAGTGGACTAGGTATATCGGTCGTTCGACTCGAGTTTTGTCCAAGAGGGTGCAAGAACGCCATCCTGCATAGTTATTAAGAGGTGGAAGTGGAGCAATAAGAAGCGCGATTATTTAACATGTGGTCGATAATGATCACCCTATCTCTATAGCCTCCTCCTTCAAAGTCATCTACAAGGTAAAAAGTAATTTACCAAAATCCCTACGTACCCGACTCATTTGTATTGCTGAAGCTTTGGCTATCGAAACGGAAAAGCCAAATATATGTACATTATTTCTGCAGAAATTATACCAATTCAAAGCACTATAAAAAAACGTTTGTGGTCAACTCACCTGAGAAATAATATTCTGTTCTCGTAACAGCTTTTGTCGATCACGTAAAGCCACATGATTTTTTACAGATGTACTACTCGTTATCTCACTTGTTAGATCTGTACTGCCGTCAAGAAAAGTTATTAATTCTGACAGAATGAATGTAAGTGACCTGTAAATAAAATTTAAAGACAAATACGTGATAATTGTATTACAAAAACAAATAACTTTCACTGTTTGAGCTTCTCTGAGAATTCGACCACATCACAAATAGATATCATCACAGACAAGGAATTCTGACTATGGACTAACCAAGATCCTATCACCCAGTAAACATGCAAAAGAAATTCGAGATGGATTAGAAATACCTTGAAGAGACTACTGAGTGACATCACATAACGCTCTCGACTGGAACGCGAATAGGTAACGAAGAGTATGGTGTGAGTCCGAAGATGAAATAGAGGAGATCATGTGAGGAGATGTAATCTTATGGTCAGTCGTAGACCCGTCTCAAAAGACAGTCGTATATTCATCTCAGAACCAAATACAGTAATCGTATCAACAATCAAATAACTTGAGACCATGGACAACCATTATTTCAGCAGCGCCGACCTATAACTCTTCAAGGATAGAACCCAAGAGCATCAATTTATGTGGGGACTATGTTATTTCATATTTTTTCCAAAGTAACTACAGATTTTCAAATAGAATCATCATAAAACTGCTTAAGTGTGATTGATTCTCAGTGTGGGTGTTATTCACCCTATCACGTTTTTTTAACATTATTAATATTCAAGTGTTGGCCTGTAGGGATTTGATTGGTCTGAGGATTTCATCATGAGCTGACATTAGTTAGAGAACCATTGGAAAACCTGGGAGTACTGGACAGCTGTTTCGTCCTAGTTTGGGACTCTTCAGCAGTACGCACCCACCGGCAGGGTTCGAACCAAGGATCTTCCGGTTACAAGGCGAGCTCGTATACCATTAAGCCACTGGGACCCGATCCAATGGTCCTTGGATTCTAACTTCTGCCAATTCACGACATAGCGCGACCGCTAGTTAATGTCTTTGGCGAGTATTTTTCCTCACACCCGACCTGCTGCACCCTACTGGTCACGACTTCCCACTGGAACCAGGTAACTACCTACCTGAATAGGGCCAGTCGCCAGTGAGCATCTCATTATTAATATTGTTCCCTTGAGTTTCGTGTGAAGCAAAGGGCTTCAACAACACATCTCCACTTTCCTCTGTCTTCTACCGTCCTCCTCACCTGGGTCCACGACTGCCAACAATCTCTCATCTATTCCTCGTCACACGATCTTCTTCAGGTCACTTTCGCACTGACGATCCACTCATCACTTTTATTTGGGTTCCACTCGAGTTATGGCTTACATTGCGAGTAATATCATTCAACGGTTTCCTCAATGTGTATGTCCTTCCATCTCCATTTTCTCCTACATATTTGTTGAGAGGTCGGGTCTTGGTTAGTTTTTTCCGACAATTTCTTGTTTCTTATTCTTTCTGGCAATTCGATCTTCAGTATGAATCCGACGAAGGCAGCTGTTGATGAAAGTCTGCAAAAAGCTTTTGGAAATCCTTTTCGTGACACACAGTGCAAGTTTCTAACCTGTATGAAAAAAGTGACTGACTTCACATTGGTGTTAAAAAAAATTGGAATCTTGTTCCTAATGCTGAGTCATAGCAGAAGATTTTCAAATTGGTTTAAGGTTGATGAAGGCGTATCTTGCCTTTACGATTCTGACTGATTTTAACATCTTCATCAGTCCTAGGTGCCTGTAATTAAAAACGATGCTTCCCAGATAAGTGAAGGAGGCAATCTCTGTTAAATCTCTCCCATTTTTTAACAAGCCTAATTCTATTTCTCCTTCTTGTCATTGCTCAACTGCTCTGTTTGATGAGGTGAAAGGTTTCTTCACCAGCTGAAAAAACCTTTTTTAAGATAAATTCGTCACTCCTGTCTTCTCAGCTTGAAAATAAAACTGATAACAAGGTAATCTTCTAATGCTTAATAAGAGTTTAAATCTTCAACTTATATTCTCAACTAAATACCCTTCGGTCTAACTTGGCTTATTTTGATAATCCATTGAAGTTTTATTGTAATCAAAATGCATAAAACACAACAGACTAATATTAGTCTTCTGTTTTATAGCATTTGGGTAAATCTACAGATTTTTATTTCTTCTTTCATTCCTTTGTGCTCTGAGTGAAACACAGTGCTTCAAACCGCCTAGGTTTCGAAGTTTGAGCAGCGCTTTACGGCGTTTTTACAGGGTAAAACTGCTAGCCTCACGCTCATTCTTTTTCTCCTTTCTGGCTTTACTATCGGCTAGACAATGGTTAGAACTGCACCAGCCGAGAATCGAACCCCAGGCGATAGGATGACCAGTGGGCACTCTATCCCCCCATTGATTTAGGAATGTGAAAATAATTGAATAAGTCATTCTAAACGCATCATCATCAGACTTTGGAAGCCACTGATCAACACCGCTATGGCCATTTCTGGATACACATTCTAATAACTGACAACTGAATCTAATGGCAGTACCGCACTATAGATTTAAAAGATATGAGCATTTGTGTTACGTGTCTCTCTATTACAAAACCATGCCATAAGTCAAATGCAGTCCCATTAAGTAATAATGCCTGTGACGACCATATTTTATTATTCCTTGTGTTCTGAGCGGAATATACGGCCTTAGCAGGACATCAGACTTCAACCTGTTCTCTGCAGTGCTTACTAGCTGATTCTACAACTGCCCATAAATTCCAATTGCCTCCGCTCACGGTCTCCTCGATATCACCCTCAGATCCGCACCCGACTTGTTGAATACAATTCGAATTTGGATTCCAGGGAGTCAGGGTATGTCCTATCCATCCTTATTTCATTCAGCATGTTTGTCGGCTCACTGGCAGAATTTCTTATTGGTAATCGTTTCTGGCTAGTAACCTTATCTTCAGTATCAAAGGAAGGTAGCTGTCGATAAAAGTCTATAGTGTGTGGAATAAATACCTATGAATAAATAGTAAATTCTTTGAATTAATCATTATTTTTTACAAGCAGTAATCAACAGATGTACATAAAAAATGTGTCGACAATTTTATAAATTCGGTTTGTTCACATATACCATATAATTTTTCTTCATTTTATTATGTCTTTCGATATTTATTAAACTCCTCGATCAGGCTAAGTACTATTATTGTAATTTACCAACTAGCTCCAGTGCACCTCTTGGTTAGCCTTCTTTGGCTGTATACTCATCGTCACCTGCGAGGTATATGCTTTTTCTGTTTTATAATCTGTCTGCCCATTTTCAACAAAGAACTCTGCACCGATGTGCATAAGTCCAAGTCGCCACACTCCTCCATGCAGCACACAAAGCAAGAGGAAGAAAGTAGAAGAAATGCATAACAGAGACAGTAGACAGGGATATGAGACAGAAGGAATAGTAATAACGAATAACATTATAGTTTTAATGGATATTATAAGTCACAAGGAATGGATGCATCTGAGCCAACATTGAGAAAAATTTTGAGTCATATAACCAATAGTATCCAGCCTTCATTAGTTTTTACCGTCCCTAGGAGACTAACCAGTCAGGAAGTCTACACCTCCTACGTGGCGAGTGGCTTAAACTAACTGTTGTGGATTTCATTGTCCGATGAAGCCATGTTTTCGGTTTGACCACCTCTGGCTTTTTTCCAACCTGATCGTGTGTCAGTCAGCTAACATTGCCCATTGTAGAGGAAAGAGATGGCCAGGCATGCGTGACACATGTCCTAACCATCTCAATCGGTGTAACTTCACAGCCTCTTCTATCGATTTCCTCTCCTTACCTAGCATTCGACATGTGCTTCACCTCAGTATTGCTCACCCTATTGTTCCAATTAATACGGGAGATAGAACGCAGTCACCTATGATCAAAGACAGCCAGCCAGGCTTTTCATGTCTTCCACTCTCAATGGCCATGCATCAATCCCAGCCATAAAGGAGGACGGAGCGGACTGCTGAGCAGTATATACGCCCTTCGGTCGACAGCCAGCTAGCCGGATATCATGTCTACTAAGCCAGAGACGGCGTAAACTGGAATATGAGAAACTAGCCCTCTGTGTCTGAGCTGAGATTTCGTCAGAGATCAACCCTTTGGCGTTGGGTGATGTAACTTCCCAAATAAGTGAAGCAGACCACGTGTTCTGCCATTTCACTTCCTATTTCTAAACTAGGAGTCAGTGTAGTCCAGTTAGGTAGAATGATCTTACTTTTGGTGGGAGCGAATCACATACCAAACATTCGTAGATCACAGCTCTTATGATAATAATAATAATAATAGCTTTATTCTGAACAAGTTGTATACAGTACAGAACATTCAACTTGGCTTTACCTACTCCCTATACAAAATCCTCAGGTAAAACAGTTATCTACGGTATATCATCCGACATAATTTTGTTCAATCTGTAACATGCTCCATTTGAACTCCAACGTATTACTCCCCTTCAAAATACACCGAATGGTATGTTGAAAGTCATTCAGAAATACGCGTGAGTACAGATTGTTCTTCATGGATATAAAAAGGTGGTCAGAATAAAGTTTAACGGAGTCAAATTTGAAATATTGTGCTCTATGGAAAATTTGGTGGCCTAATTACTTGCGAAGACTACCATCACAAAGAATAGTAAAACTAAACTCTATGGAGAGTGATGCTAAAATAAAACGGATCAGATATGAGATAATTATTATTATTGTATCCTTTAGTTCCTAGAGGAATATAGGGCTTCAGCTGCGCACCTCCATTGCCTTCGGTTTTCTGACAACTTTTTCACACCGCTCCAGGTCTGTCCACATGCTTTCATCTCCTCCTCGCATGACCTCCTCCAAGTCACCATCGATGACGACCAACTCGCCGCCTCCCTTTCGGGTTCCACTCGAGCGATGGCTTGTCTAGTGATGTCACTTGATGGTTTCCTCAGCGTATGGCCAATCCATCTCCATTTCTTTCTGCCTATTTGTTTCACAATCGGTTCCTGATTGGTTCGCTCCCAGAGATCCCTGTTGCTGATCTTTTCTGGCCATCTGATCTTGAGTATTGAGCGAAGACAACTGTTAATGAAGGTTTGAAGTTTGTTTGAGATGCTCTTTATGACTCGCCAAGTCTCTGATCCGTATAGTAGCACTGACTTCACATTGGAGTTGAAAATCCGGATCTTATTTTTGATGCTGAGTGCTGTTGACCTCCACACAGATTTGAGAGTAATGAAAGCTTGTCTTGCTTTTCCGATTCTGGCTTTGATATCCTCGTCAGTTCCGCCTGTAGTTGAGACGATGCTTCCCAGGTAGGTGAAGGAGGTTGTTTCTTTCAGGTTCTTCCCATTTATGCTGATTGTTGTCTGTTGTTGTTGCTGTTGGCTAGGAATCTTCATCACCTCTGTTTTATCTATGTTCACGTGAAGTCCTATCTTTGATGCTTCTTCTGCCAACTTGTTACTTTTCACTTGCATATCTTCCAGTTTATGGGAAATCAGACATATATCATCGGCGAAATCCAGATCCTCCAAGTCTTTTGTGTCAGTCCATTTTATGCCTGTTCCCTCGTTGGTTGCCGTTGTCTGTCGCATTATCCAATCAATTGCAATCAGGAAGATCATTGGTGATAGTAGACAGCCTTGCCTCACTCCCGTCCTCACTTCGAAGGCTTCCGTAAGTTTCCCGTTGTGGATTACTTGGCATGCAGCATTGTCGTATAACTGTTGGATGAGATGTATAATTGTCGATGGGACCCCGTAGTAGCGAAGTAGTTTCCAAATGACCTCTCGATCGACGCTGTCGAAGGCCTTTTCAAAGTCGATGAAGTTGAGATAGAGAGGTGACTGCCATTCCAAGCTTTGTTCAATGATGATCCGTAGAGTGGCGATTTGATCAATACATGATTTGTTTCTCCTGAATCCAGCCTGTTCCGGACGAAGTTTTTCATCTAGGGCTTGTTTGATTCTCTCCAGGATGATGCGACTTAGTATCTTGCTTGGAATGGACAGAAGCATAATTCCACGCCAGTTTTTACATTGACTTAAGTCTCCTTTCTTTGGAAGTTTGAATAAGTATCCGTTCTTCCAATCCTCGGGTACTTTGCCCTCTTTCCACACCTTCTCCAGCAGTGGTGTCATCAAGTCCGCTGTTGTCTCTGGGTCTATTTTCAAAGCTTCTGCTGGGATTCCATCTGGTCCTGGTGTTTTCCCAGCTTTTAGCATCTTGATTGCATTCAGGACTTCTGATTTCGTCGGGGGGTCAGTGTTCACTGGTAGTTCTGCTTCCGTTGTTGGTATTGTTGGGCGTGTTGTAGGTGGCGGACGATTTAGAAGTCTTTTGAAGTGTTCAACCCAGTGCTTTCTCTGTTCCACCTCTTTGGTGATTGACTTTCCATTGTCGTCCTTTATTGGCTTAATCTGTGTCGAACGTTTGCCCGAAAGGTGCCTAGTTGTTTGGTAGAGTGTGGCGAGGTCTCCTTTGCCTGCAGCTTGTTCTGCTTCGTTTGCCATGGTTTCATAATATTTTCTTTTGTCTTCCCTGGCACTCTTCTTCACTCTTTTGTTCAGTGTATTGTAGCTTGCATTCAGCTCCTGTTTTTGTTGCTCGTCAGTGCACTGGATAATCTTTTGTTTCACTGTCCTTCTCTCTTCTATTAGTTTCCAAGTGTCCGTAGTGAGCCACTGTTTGTCCTGTCTCTTTTTCTGCCTAGAATTTCTATGCAGGTTTGGCTCCACACCGTTTTCAAGTTGTTCCAGTGCTTTTCGACGCTGACCTTCTCGCTGGTGTTGATTTGTGTCTCGGCTTTGTCCTTTATGCTTGCAATGAAGATGTCCTTTGTAGCCTGGTCCTTCAGCTTTTGAGTGTTGAACTTGGCTTGTGGTCTATCTGCAGCTCCTGATTCCCTGAAAGCTTTTAATTTGATTTGGATTGTCCCTTGTACGAGATAGTGGTCTGAGCCAACGTCTGCTCCTCTTCTTGCTTTTGTGTCCAGTAGGCTGCGCCTCCACTTCCTTGAGATTGAGATGAAGTCGATTTGGTTTTTGGTTTGCCCGTCTGGTGACACCCATGTAGCCTTGTGGATATCTTTGTGCTTGTATACACTGCCACCAATCACTAGTTCGTTGAAGGCGCAGAAGTCGGCGAAGAGTTCTCCGTTTTCATTCATTTCTCCGAGAGCTTCTCTACCCATGATGAGTTCCCTTCCTGTGTTGTCTGGTCCCAGTTTGGCGTTCATGTCTCCCATTAGTATTTTCATGTCGCCAGCTGGAGTATTGTCCATTGTTGCCTGTAGTTGCCTGTAGAATTCTTCTTTCTTTTCGAGGTCTGCGTTGTTTGTGGGTGCATAACATTGTATGATTGACACTTTCCTTCCTTTGGAGTTGAATCTGGCGGTCATTATCCTGGACGAAATCGCCTCCCATTGTATCAGGGCTTTCGTTGCCGTTGGTGACATCATGATAGCCACGCCCTCGGTGTGCGTGTGGTTATCTTCTGGGTGACCGGAGTAGATCACTGACTCACCCGTTGACAATTTGGTGAGTCCACTCCCATTCCATCTGCTTTCACATATTCCCAGCACTTGGATTCCGTATCTTTTCATCTCGTTGGCGATCTGGGCAGCTTTCCAGTCTCGTACATAGTTCGGACGTTCCATGTCCCCACACAGACTTTTTCTTTTGGTGCAAAGAGGTTCATTTTGCTGAAGTTTCTGTAGCAATTTTGTTTACAGGGTGGGGTTGCTAGCCTCACGCCTGAGAAAGGAATGATTACATTAAGATAAAGTTTAGAGAGAAGCGACTTTTTGGGTTGCTCCCCTCAAAATCGGAAAATAACGGACAAACAATGAGAACAACACCAGCAAAAGGAAAACAGTTCACAGCAAAAAGGGCAAAAAGCGACAACAACTATACAATACAACAACATGCAATATAGTTCAGCACAGTTAACTAAAATGATATCTCAACCATAAACTCACTGTCTTGGAGCAACTTGAACATATAAATCCAACAATATATACAATTATCGATGTGTTTATGTTTAACAATTCCACAAATCCAAATAGTTAGTTATATGTATTATCTGTCAATAAGATTGTATCCTTGGATTTAGTGTTCCAAAGGTAAATAATTGTGATAGTTTCCACAAACTCTTGGCATGAACTTTTAGAGAAACGAGAGTTTTTATTAATAAGAGAAATGTAGTATCGATCATTGTGAAAAAATTAGAAGACCTAGATTTTGCGCGTGGATGATTGATGTTTGATGTCACACAAAATCGAAGACTTAAAAGGAAAAACCAACAAACTGGTCGAACAAACAGCCAACGAAGACAGGACTCCAGGTGAGCATAGACAAGACGAAGGTTATGAAAACAACTAATCAACAACAACAACAACAGCAACATCCAGCGCCAATCACCATCAACGGGAGGGATTTGAAACAGGTTACTTCACTCACTCACTTATCTAGCATTGAGCATTGTCTCAACTACAGGAAGTCGGAACGGACGAGGCTGTCAAACTGAGTGAGAATCGGGAAGGCGAGAAACACATTCATCAGCCTGAAATCAATCTAGGAAATCTTCGTCACTCAGCCAGCATCAACAACAAAATTCGGTCGAATTTTCAATACAAACGTCAATCTACTCAGCTCTTCTACGCGGATTAGAAACTTGGCGGTCGGGTCACAAAGAATATTTCCAACAAACAGCCTGTTGCAGACCTTTATCAACCAACAACTGTCTTCGCTGGATCTATACTCAAGATCAGATGGCCGGGCCGGGCTGGAAAGAATCACCAACAGGAAACTATGGCCGGGAACAAACAAACAAAACAAGAACAAACCGATCGCCAACTAACAAATATGCAGGAGAAAGTGGAGATGGATGGATTGGACACTCGCTCGCTGAGGAGGCCGCCGCTTGGTGACATCGCACGCGTCAGGTCATTGCTCGAGTGGAACCAGGCCGAAAGGGAAGCACACGGCGAGTGGGACGTCAGTGCAAGGGTGGGTGACATGGAGGAGATCGTGTTAGTTGGAGGAGTTGAAACAGCATGGACTGACATGGATGGATGCAGGTGGAAAGTACAGCAGAAGGAAGGCAGAAGCAAGTGGAGACGTGCAGTTGGAGCCCTATGTTCCACTAGGAACCCAAGGAACAACAGTAACAATAATCGTTTTCTTGTTTTCAGGTGAATGGAGGCAGTCTGTAAGAAGCGTTGCATCTAGGTTTAGTCCTTGCCGGTAGTAACCAGTCAACAAGGCATATCTGCAAACTTGAAGGAACTCATGTCCCCTTTGAAGTTCTAGTCCAGGCTGCCCAGTGCTGCAGTCACAGAAGTTACCAGTGAGTTGGTATTCCATCTCATTTTTTCATAAGGTAAATGTAAAGTGTGAAGTGTTTAATCAAACTAATTGCAAACAGATCTGTACATGAAAGGAATATTTAACACAAACTGTGTTTTCGTCTTTATTAAGACATGAAACAAAAGTTAGAGAACCACTGGAAAACCTGGGAGTACTGGAGAGCTTTTTTAGTCCTAGTTTGGGGGTCCCTAGTCGAGTCCCAAACTGAGACGAAACAGCTGTCCAGTACTCCAAGTTTTCTAGTGGTTCTCCAACTGATGTCAGCTCATGATGAGACCCTCCATACAATCAAACAAAATCCCTATAAAACCAATACCTGAACATAAAACAAACAAAAACTAAAATTACTTTAGCTGGATATCCATCAATTTGCCTTGATCTCTTAGACTGCTGAGAATAACTCCAAGAGCTTTGTAGACATCACTGGCAAAATCTAAATCTCTGATTATGCATGCAGGCACAGGAAGGATAGCAAACACTTCTTTATTATCTTTGACACAGGTTAGATTAAGCTATAGGAGAATTTTAAAATAAATAAACAGAAAGAAAAAAAAAGAAAACCTGTAGATGTAACTTTATTCCTATTGTAAAGTCAAGTTAATATAACTCTACAATATTAAATAACATTCATTTTGGTGGATGGTAACTAACAGCAGGATGCAAGATGTCCATTTCGTTCTACTCAGCATTCATCAGCCGGATGTATTGCAATTTCAAGAGTGTGAAACGAAGTGTACTGGGCTCAGGTCCCAGTTGGGACAACTTCATTCACTGAGAATGCAAGTACATCTAGTTGACGAGTCCCGATAGGGACGAAATGAGCATCCTGGATTCAACTACTAATCACCATCTACGAAATTACTTCATGTTGATTCTCAGACATCACCAATGCGGCTGTACTGGGAGCGAACATGCCAAATGAGGTAGAATATTTCAGTCCAAGAAATCAACAAGAAAACCAAAATTGGGTTAAAATTAAGTAGTACGCATTCGTTCTGACTGGTCACAGAATTTTGTCATGAGCTGACATCGGTTAGCGAATCATTGGGAAACCTGAGAATACTGGAAAATTTTCCGTCCTAGTTTAGGACCTATTGGCGGTACGTAGCCACTGCCAGAGTTTGAACCCAGGATCTTCCGGTTACAAGGTGAGCTTGTAGACCATTCAGCCAATGAATACATCAGCCACTGGATCAGGTCCCAGAGATTGAACGATCTAGGAGGTCGATGAGGTGGTGGTTGCGTACTGCTGAAGAGTTCCAGACTAGTGGAGCGGAACAGCTCTCCAATACTCGCTCGTTTTTAATGTTTCCTCAACTGATATCAGTCCATGATTAAATGTAAAACAACTGTGACTACATTTCGACTTAACTTTAAACTACCGTTAATTCTACTGTGTTGGTGTGAAGGTATTCATTCAATAAAACCTCATTCACTATCATTGTTTTCAAACCTAGTCGAACTAAGTTATAATACAGAAAGCCAGAATGATCTTTACATTAACCGGAATAATATTAATTTTACAACTTTCATATCAATGGAGACTAAGATCAGATCACGCCATTTATACATGTTAAATATTTATATTTTCTAAATAGCTTAATTAACAGCTAACTGTGAGTGCAAAATAAAAGTCAAAACAGAGAAGTATGAATTAAATATTATACAATGAAATTAAAATATGCCTTATATGACGTCTGGTATCCTCACTTTTTAAATATTTATCAGTCAACCTTGATGAAAGTAAAGCTCACTATTTCAATATCCAATTATTCTATATGTAACCGATATTATTGAGAGTTTTCTTTATGCATTTATTCTCTTTCACGCGTTTTTGAATAAGACAAGAAGAAATAGTGGTTTGTGCTTCTCATCTGACTGCCTACAGCCTGAAGACATTATTAAGTTTATGTTTATGTACAGAACAACATTAACATACTTGCATATGTCACATAATGTCAGTTGGTTGGGAGACTATAGACTTGATTAACAGTAGTCAGAAAATTACACACATATATTACTTTATACTCAGAAAGTTCAAGTTTAAACAGAAATAAACGCTTGCATACAGTGATGAGGGAGTTAGGTAATAAAGATGATGAGTAAATTAATAAATTAAGTAAAAAAAAATGGTGAGTTCAACTCAGATGATAGAAAAAAAGAGACAAGCAAAGTTATACTGCAATAAAAAGGCATGAGATCAAAGCCAAAGATTACACAATCAAATGAAAGAGGGAATAAAGATATCTAGTTACCAGTGCAAAGAAAGACTGATAGCTGCCGCCATTTGAACACATTATTCACTTTCAGACAATTTTAATTGTAAACGGTTTTGCAATGTCCACCTCATGACTCGTATCAAGCAGATGTCTACCAATAGAACTAATGAAAACGCTTGTTCCCTTGAGACGTAGGCATTTCGGTACATGTTCAGAAAATTGACAGTAATTAGATTAGGAGAAAAGAGAGTTAGGAGCACCTCCAAATTGTTAAATATGGTGACAAGAAGTAACTGGTAGAAACTAAGGGTAACACTAGTCAGGAATGATGTAAGTTCTTAAATAATAAACAAGAGTGATAAGGACTGTTTATTTTTTTTTCAGAAAATTAGACGACTAAGCTTCGAGACAAAAGGACAAAGTTCAACGATTTTTGTGAGTAGAAACAAAGTTCAACTAGAATGGCCATGACAAATAATAAATAGGTTACGTAACCACCGAAAGTATGTTTTTACAAATTAACCAAAAAGGATAGTGTTGCATGAGTCATTTTTAGACGAGAAATAAAATTTTCTAAACAGAACAGTGGGTGACTTAGTAAAATCTGTATACTTGTTATTACAAAGGCAGTGAGGGATTCATCATTACCGTCTCTTCCTGAGTACATAGACTTGGTTTTAATCGTTTGATGGCGATTGCCTTAATGAAACATAACAGGCTAGGTTTCTTTTGCCTACTGACTACTCTGAATGCCTTTAGATTATCCACAACATTATTATTATTCCCTTGGGTTCCTAGTGGAACATAGGGCGCCAACTGCACGTCTCCACTTGCTTCTGCCTTCCTTCTGCTGTACTTTCCACCTGCATCCATCCATGTCAGTCCATGCTGTTTCAACTCCTCCAACTAACACGATCTCCTCCATGTCACCCACCCTTGCACTGACGTCCCACTCGCCGTGTGCTTCCCTTTCGGCCTGGTTCCACTCGAGCAATGACCTGACGCGTGCGATGTCACCAAGCGGCGGCCTCCTCAGCGAGCGAGTGTCCAATCCATCCATCTCCACTTTCTCCTGCATATTTGTTAGTTGGCGATCGGTTTGTTCTTGTTTTGTTTGTTTGTTCCCGGCCATAGTTTCTGTTGGTGATTCTTTCCGGCCCGGCCATCTGATCTTGAGTATAGATCCAGCAAAGACAGTTGTTGGTTGATAAAGGTCTGCAACAGGCTGTTTGTTGGAAATATTCTTTGTGACCCGACCGCCAAGTTTCTGATCTGCGTAGAAGAGCTGAGTAGATTGACGTTTGTATTGAAAATTCGACCGAATTTTGTTGTTGATGCTGGCTGAGTGTCGAAGACTTCCAGATTGATTTCAGGCTGATGATGTGTTTCTCGCCTTCCCGATTCTCACTCAGTTTGACAGCCTCGTCCGTTCCGACTGGCTGTAGTTGAGGCAATGCTCAATGCTAGATAAGTGAGTGAGTGAAGTAACCTGTTTCAAATCCCTCCTGTTGATGGTGATTGGCGCTGGATTTTGCTGTTGTTGTTGTTGATTAGTTGTTTTCATAACCTTCGTCTTGTCTATGCTCACCTGGAGTCCTGTCTTCGTTGGCTGTTTGTTCAACCAGTTTGTGGGCTTTTTCCTGTAAGTCTTCGATTCATTATTTTTAATACATTTATGCGTTGAAGTTTCTGTAGGAGTTTGGTTTAGTTTTGGAGGTGGAGTTGCTAGCGTCACGCCCCACCCTCTCTCTTTATCCGGGCTTGGGACCGGCTAGGAAACTAGTCAGCTGGTTATCTAGGCGAGGTCTAAAGATGGCATTAGTTCTGTAGGCAAACCTATCAACATTTTTAAGGCTGTAAGCTGCTGATGAGAAGCCAACAAAATGGAAGTGATGGTGCCATCTTATTCTGCATCAACCACTGTTGTTCTTGCTTTAATTCAAAATCTGAGAAGTTTTAATTTAAAATTTATTCAACGTTCTAAGACCTCTGGTATTTTATCGGTGATGTTTCATCATTAGGCTTAGTGATGTCTTCAGCAATAAGTTCTTAGAATGCAAACAAACATTATTTTGTTATCTGTAACAAATCTCTCTACTTCATACATTTTAACTTGGGTTAACTTTATTTTATTTATTTCTACTGTAGCTTGATTGAACAGAGTATTCTGGCACAAGTATGGAATTTTCGGCGTGTGATTTCGGTGGCATAAATTTAGCAGGCTGACCCTTGTTGATATCAGCTGTGCGTCGGCCGAGGATCGAACCCCGGACCATCTGCATGGTTGGCGAGCATCCTAACCACTGTGCCACCGACGCATTATTTTAAAAATGTCCCAGGTATAAGTGAGGGCACCTTTACAGTCAGCATTAACCATAATATTTCAAACATTTTTCCACTTCTGAAAGACTATCGACGGCTACTCTTAGAATTATCGGTTATATTCTACTCTACACATTTAGATAAAGGTTATCTGGACTACTAGTAAAGTTTTTTGTGTAACGGAAAAGTTAGTGTGTCGATGGTTCAGCGGTAGCATGCTAGCCAACCACTCGTTAGGTCCAGCGTTCAATCCCTAGCTAGCGCACTCCTATAACCTCTCTAAGCTTGTAATTAGGTCGCCGAATAGAGGTTTGTTGTGAGGCTAGCAACCTGACCCCACAAAAATAAAAATGACCGCTACCGAAACTTCCAAGCTATAACTTGAAGTCTTATGTTTTACTGGGAACCTAAAGGAATAATAATGATAAATAATAACGGAAACGTTCATTATAATAAACAGAAACGTTGTTTGGAAAACCCCTCTTGAACAGTCTAACCACAATATTTACATTTATATGGATGTTTTAACCGACTTATAATTATTATCCGTTTTTATCCTAGAATGTACGTCATTATTTTCTATAGTTTGGTTTGTAAGGGTTGGTTATATTTTTACGAGTTGATCACGGATTGATATCAGTTAGAGAACCATTGAAAACCAGCACCGGAGTACTGCAAGACAGCTGTTTCATCCTAGTTTGGGAATCATCGGAGCATGCACCCACTGAGATATCAACCCCCTGATATCAATCCGTGACCAACTAGTAAAAAACTTAACTAACCCTTACAAACCAAAACTATAGAAAATTAATCTGATGTTCGCCAGTGACTTGTTACAGGACAGAGATTCCTAGAGTTCTAATGGGAAGTCATGATCAATGAGGTTCATCCAGTCAAGTGTGAGGATGGATGTCCCACTGACAACATTGGTTGGGATCGGGTTAAATGCATCACGAATTGGTAGAAGTTAGAATTCATAAGCTGACCACTGAATCGGGTCCCAGTGACTGAATGGTATACGAGCCAGCTTACCATGTAACCGGAAGGTCCTCGGTTCTAACTCTAGTGGTGGATGCGTACAGCCGATGATTCCCAAACTATTGGGATGAAACAGCTGTCTGGCAGTACACCAGTGCTGGTTTTCAATGGTTCTCTAACTGATATCAATCCGTGATCAACTCGTAAAAACGAATAATAATCGTCTTTTTGACGTCTTTGGAGCTCTTGTGGCTGCGTCTCTAAAGGAAGTTTTGGATATTTGTGTGGTGGATGTAAAGATCAATCCCCTACGTCAAGACGATAACCAGTTGATTTTTGGTGGTTACAGTCTGAGACAGTTTCATTCAACAACAACAACAACCTGGTTTTTGACTGGACGTTAGATAGTAAATAGCGATATTCGTTTAGTCCTTCGTTTGGTGCAGACTGAAATTTATCAGTCAAATTTGCAGTGCAGCCACCACGCTAGATGGCTAGCCATCGCCTGTGAATTTTGAATTGATGTTAGACAGCTGGAGACAATCTACAGGAAGCACTTTATGCCTTTCTGACGAGTGCCGACAAGCGCAAAACCTGGATCCAAAGCTGCCTGCAGATTGCTTCCAACCATCTAACACCAAAACACGTCTTTATATAATGGCCAATAATTGTAGATGAGTAACCACAGGACTTGAATCAGATTCATATTTAGCCTTCACTCCTCATTCATTATTTTGTTTAAATTAAGTCAGTATAGATTTCGTCAACAGACTAACATCGGCTGCTGAATCACTGCAAAAATAAAGAACACCGGGAGGTGGTTTTATCCTACCTTGAGACTCTTCAACAGTGCACATCGATGATGCCACTAGTGGTCGAACCCAGGATCTTCAGGTCATGAGGCCAGCTCATTTAACCATTCAGTCACGGGGCCAGTCAATCCTAAATTCCATCGATTCGAGACATATAAAGCTACCGCCAACCGAATCCACCAATGGGTCTCCAGGGCCATGACTTCTTATTCGAACTTTTTTATTTCAGCTTGATTCCACACCGTATTTTTGGGTACAGGTATGGAATTTTCAGCATGTGATATCGGTAGCCAAATTTCGCAGGCCGACCATAGATATCAGGTGTGCATCGGCAGGGGATCGAACCCCGGACCATTTGCATGGCCGGTGAGAGTCCTAACCACTGTGCCACCGACGCACAATATCCAGTAGGTAGCCATTATGCTTTGCATGCTTCGTGATGAATCCTACAGTAAAACGGATCTGAATCCCTACAAAATCCAACATGTGATCATTAAATTACGTATCCCTCTTCTTTCAAATGATAGAATTTGAATCATTTTCATATAATCAACAAATAAATAAATACCCACATACCATATGCATTATAGGCTTGTCAACATTTTTATCAATTGTCACTTCACTGGCTTTAATCCACATTTTTGAAGCTGTATGACAAATACGTACAAACGCATTATTCGGTATAAGCTCATTATTATCTTTGTTATGACTTGTTGAATCTAATTCAAAAACTGTTTCAAATGTTGGATCTTTTGATAAAGTAAGATATCTTGGTGTACAATAGTTATCTTGTTCACGATAAGAAGGCACTTTTGTATTTCCGCATCGATCTTCCATTTTGTGCACCTGTAGAAAAAAAAACAATAACATGGATAACAAAACTAACCAAAAATTAGATCATAGCCTAACCATCGCCTTCCTCAATAATAATCAATGTTAGCTGACATAGGATGGATCAGGATGGAAAAGAGCCAGAGGTGGTCAAATCAAGACATGGCCTCATCAGTCAGCGAAATCCCAGAAGGGACATGGGTTCCTTCTAGGATGCAGATGCGTCTTGCTGACTGGTGATTGCCAACTAGCACGAAACCTAGGTTCAAAGCTTCCTGTGGCCTACTGTCTCAAACCATCTAATACCAACAATTCACGGTGCACCGTGATGGCGAGCTACCTAACTTGATGGTGGCCACATTGCAAGTTTGACTGATAGAATTCAGTCCACACCGAAAATAGGACTAGACACATTACACTAGTTACTGACTAGTATCCAATCAGAAATACCCAGTACAGCCCAACAGGAGGTCAATCGTGGGTCTGAATAGCTCAGTGGTAACGTCTCTGACTCACTGCAGCCCCACTGGGTGACGCGGGTTCGAATCTCAGAAGGTACATGAGTCCCTTCGAGGTTGCATATGCGCCTAGCTGATGAGTGCCAAATAGCACGAAACCCAGGTCAGGCGTGGCTTCCTGCCGATTGCCTCCAAACATTCATAACAGTTAGTTAGTTTAAGCCAGTCGCGTAGAAGGGGTGTAGACTGGCTTCCTGGTTGGGATCATCGGGACGGTAAAAACTAATGAAGGCTGGTGAAGATTGCTGATGTGACTCAAAATCGTTCTCAGTGATAGCGCAGATGCATCCACTACTTGTGACTCATAATATCCAATAGAACTCTATTGTCTTTCATACAACTATTCTTTTTGCCTCATATTTCTGTTTATTATTTCTATTTTGAATCCTTCCTTACTGCCTCCTCTTAGTTTGTGTGTTACAAGGAGAGAGGGTGGCAGTTCAAACTGCTGTACATCTATGCAAAATTCTACGTTGAAAGCAGTCATCAGACCCTACATCACAATTTAGGATAGTATTTTATCAGACAAATCAATCACTACACGGGAAAATAATTCCTTCCCCTTGTACTTATTTCTTACTTCATATTTCATGGATGAGGATGTCCAAGCCAGCCATGATCAGGTTGGAAAGGCAAACATTCGTTACAATAAAGAAAGTACGAACATACTTACAGTCAGGTTGATAATAATAATAATACGAGCTGTTTTTATCTCATCAACTCTCTTCAACTGCACATATCACAAACAAATCAATTCTATGGTGCAAAATGGTTTCTGAATATACTTTAACAACGATTTCAAGTTATAGTCAGAAAGCACAGGCAACATGATTTTAAAGATGATGAAGGCGGACAATTATTTTGAGACATACACTGGAAATTAGTTAGACTTTCAAAACAATCAATACACAAAGAAAACCAGGGTCAATTCAGTTCACAGAAGCCATTGACATCAAAAGATTTCATTCAACCTGACCTATGCATTCAAAAAGACAGTATGACTAATCTCTTACTACTCTGGTAACCATAATTGTTTTGTTTTGTTGCGTAACATTTCACTCAGTTTTGATTTTGATTTTCACTCACTGACTGAGTTGAATTCACTGTTAAAGTTTTAAATCTACTTCATTAAATTATTTTGTCTGTATTTTATAATTTAACTTCACTATTCATCCACACACCCACACCTGAGTACTACACTATGATATGTATGAATTAAGTCTGCAGATCTATCTTGTATTTTGTCTCTAGTCCATTCTTGCTTTCAAACCAGCTCTGAAGTCTACGTCAATCTTGTCTAATTACTATATACATTTTCAAGAAATTGGTTTATAACGGTTAAATTTGTTTATACGAGTTTGATCATGGACTGACATCAGTTAGAGAGAGAGCCATTGAAAACCAGTACTGGAGTACTGTCAGACAGCTATTTCATCTGACTAGTTTGGGAATCATTGACGTTCGAATTCAGGACATTCCGGTTACAAGGCAAGCTGGCTCGTATACACTTCTAGTCACCAGGACCCGATTCAATGGCCACCAGTCCGTGAATTCTAACCTCCACCACTTCGTGATGTATTTGGCGCTACCACAAACCAGCGTCATCGGTGGGAACTCCATCGAAACTCTTGCTCTCCAGTGACTTGCTACAGGACAGAGTTTCCTGCAGTTCTAGTGAGAAGTTGTGACTAGTGAGGTCCATCCAGATGTCACGTGTGAAGATTGAGTTCCCACTGATGACAGTGGTTTGTGATGGCGCTAACTGCATCACAAGTTGGCCATTGAATCGGGTCCCAGTGACTGAATGGTATACGAGCCAGCTTGCCTTGTAACCGGAAGGTCCTGGGTTCCAACCCTAGTGGTGGGTGCGTATGTCCGATGTTTCTCACGCTAGGATGAAACAGCTGTCTGGAAGTACTCCAGTACTGGTTTTCAATGGTTCTCTCTCTAAGTGATATCAATCCGTGGTTAAAGTCGTATAAAATATATAAATAGTTAATGTTTTAACGCCGAATAATTGTCTACTTACATCATCTTTGAAATTATATTACTTATACTGTCTATCTATAACTTAAAATCAGTGTAAAAGTATGTTTAGACAATATTTGTAACATTATAAATGATTTATTTATGATGTATGCAGTTGTAGAGAATTGAAGAAATAAAAGTAGCTCGTATTATTATTCTGCCTCTAAATATGTTCGTAATTTCTTTGTTCTAACTAATAAATACAACTGGCTGTGTGAAAGACCTTCTTTAATCTGAAACTAAAGCGGAAATCCATTGTCCTCAGCATAACAAAAAAGCTCTAGGTATTCAACACTTATGTCAAGTCAGTACTTCTATTCTACGGTTCACAGACTTGGTAAACGCTTCACAAAAAAGCATTTCAAACAAGCTACCGTGGACGCTCATTAACAACTGCCCCCTTCTCTCCTTACTGAAGATCGGATCATCAACGAGAAAGGATAAGCAGCAAGAAAGTTTAGCAACAAACCAACCAACATTCCGTGCGTCGATGCCACGGTGGTTAGGACTCTCGCCGACCATGTACATGGTCCGGGGTTCGATCCCCGGCTGTCGATGCACTCCTGTGCCTCGCTAAGCCAGAAATAATGCTGGTAAAGAGGAAAGGATGGGCATGGGGCTAGCAACCCCATTCTGTAAAAATAAACACCATTGCTACATAAATTTCATGCCACTAGCTAGAAGCCCTATGTTCCACTGGTAACGTGAAGGGAAAAATGGAAATGCATTGAATACACGTTGAGCAGACCGTTGAGTAACATCATGTGCAAGGTAGGCCCTCGTGTGAAATCTGAATCGGGAAACGACGAGTTAAGCGTGGCTCCGTGGGTTACATGGAGGAAACCACATGAAGAGGAGAAGAAACCTCACGGGCAGTCATAAAGCCAACTAAACAAGACTTCGAATAACACGGTGAAATAGAGATGTCAAATTTATTACAAATAATGATGAAACTATGAAGTAAACGCTCTAAAATACACAACACAATAAGCTTTTAATAAGTAAAAATTATGATAAAATTCTTACTTTTGCGCATAAATACATCCCCGTAGTTAAATGCTTCAAACGGAATAGACTATTCCAGTGGCCTGCTCCAGTTCGTTTCGAATCTGAATGGATCACCTATGTATGCAGAAAGCAATTCACATTTGACGGTGTACAAATTAGTGATTAAATTTTTCTTTTTAATGATAATGACATTCATGATGTCAACGATTCAGAGACCACCTTCAAAGCTTATTGGTAAGACGAACGAACCTATTTATCACTTACCACACTATATAGAGAGAGTATCACCGCTACCTTTATGCCTCCATATGGGATAGTTCTTTTGGACCTATTTAGACAAGAAATGTATCGAATGACAAGCATAGATCCACAAAAGCAGGTCTACTGATATACTCACATAGTATTTGTCAGTTGCTAGATCTTGCTTACTGAGGCTGGTGACGCTCAAGGTGCTGTCCTTTCTCCTTTTCTGTTTTCCTTCTTCTTGCATGACTTGCCTCACTCTGGTGATGAAATCAACTTTGTTAAGTATGCCGATGATCCAACTATTTCCATGTCTGTTAACTCCCAGCTTGACTGTACTAAGATGAACAGCTTTCTGTCAGGAATTAGCAAATGGTCATCGTCTAACAGCCTTAAATTGAATCTTTCCAAATGTCAGACTATCAATTTCAGTTTCCGATGTAAACGAAAGTTAAATGAAGTCGTTGGTTCCTATGATCCTTGCAAAATTTATGATACTGATATAGAAATCAAGCCTGAAGTTAAATATCTTGGATTAATTCTTTCTTCTGACCTATCCTGGCCTTCCCATGTCTTAGCGATTTCTAAAAAAATATTTCGTCTGACTTTTTACATTAAGAAGTTAAGACACTCAGGCATAACTCAACCCCTCCTCCTCCTCTTACAGTTTGTCAACTCGTGCATCTCACCTATTCTTCTTTACTGCTCACCCTCGCTTGTTCTTTCCTGGATTGCTTAAAATAGACTATGTCATACTTCGTAGAACTCTGAAGATTGTCAGTAAAACGAGTGGTATCCCATTGGGCCACATCGTTGACATTATCACTGATAGGTACTTGATGTCATGCAACAAATTTGCTGGAGGAATTTTGTCAGACTATGAGTACCCACTCTACCCGCAGCTTCAACCTTGTGTCCCTTCAGGTAAAACAAGAAGTCTTTCTAGAAGAATTTACGCACGTACGACTAAGTATAAAAATTCCACCATACCATATTTAGCACGTACTTTATGTGATGAAAATAGTGTCAGACATGAACTAACTAACCTTCTTTGCACTACTAAATAAACCATTTCCTCCACCCTTACACCATCAAACTTTATTGCTATTGTAATTCTTATATTTATAGTCCTCTCAATTTTTTGTTTTTGTTTATTTTTTTTCATGAGTGTGAACATAATTGACGCTGTGTTATAAAACTGTTAATTTTGTATTTCCCCTCACTATACTATATCAACAGAACATTAGATCCAATAATCTATAACATGCTAAAGTTTCCAAACTGCATCGACAATACTACTTGAAACAAACTCCCTGTTGTTATTATTATTATATTTAATGATCTCAATTCGTGCTTCGAATATTTTTGACTTTATATCGTAAACGTGGACAAATTCCTCTGGTTAATTTTGTTTTAATTTTTAACTTTATTTATATTTTAATTAAATCAGATGCAGTATTGTGACAAATGCTAAGAATTCCATTCTGTATTACATGTACTGTTTATGGAATAAAGTAGATTATTATTATTGTCCTTGAGGCTTCTACAGACCAATGGACGACTGGAGAACATTCTGTTAGTGTCACTGTGAAGAATGTCTTCTAAAATGTTGAACTTCTTCTCTTAGAGATATCGCAGGTTAAGCTCCCCTTGAAACTGAAGCCCATATAAAGTTTCTTTTTTTGTTACGAGTAATGTCTCGTTTCACTCAAAACTTTTAGTTTGATGTACTTGTCAATGAAACTTGATGGGTATCCATTTTGAGTGAAAAATTCTTTCAAAAGATCGAATTCTTCTTCTATGGCATCGGGACTACAAAGCCACTGGATGTGAGTATCAAGGGATTTAACTGGTACCCAACAGTAAAAGCCTATCATTGGGATATTTCTTGTAGATTTCTCTTGGACATACCTTCTTAAGGTTCCATTGGATCTTTTCGTTAGCTCATCACAGCAAAAAGGAATTTTAATTTCGTTTCCCATACCGAAGACAGCTGGCAAATAATTTTGACAACTGATTTAGGTGAAAGTGTCATCCACCTTCCCGTGTATACAGTTGAGAATTATCAATAATTGACTCTAACAAACTGCTCCTCAATCACTGCATTGGAATCCACTGACCCATGAATTCTGACTCTTTGATATAAGAATAAAACTTGTGCACTGTGGCAGAGTGTAATTCCATTATGGGTAAATTTTGTTTTGATAAACTCTCCCAGTGTTATACACTAATGTTTACTGATAACGTTTCGAGCACAATTTATCACTGCTCATAACCATATCAAGGCAGTACTCACACGACTTCCTAATTTCATTTATATAGTTCCATTGTTTTTCACTTGATTTTCGCTTGATTTGATTGGTAGTAGTATTTTCCGTATTTCCGGTATGAGTGATGAATCGTTCCTATTGCATGTGTTGGGTGTAGACTCTCTCCCCATCTACCTAGATGACGTTTTAAAATTTTAACCCTCTCCCATCCTATTGTGTGGTTGTGTGTTAATGCATGTAGAGCAGTTGCTGAGCTCTTTTCTAAATTATTTATCTTCTCGGGTAGCACTAAGTAGCACAAAAAAAGACCTAATTAATAAAATGAAAACAGATAGAACAGGCGTTGGTGTTAAATAATAAACCATCCTTTAAAATTCATTAGGAAGATCGAAAAAGGCCAAAATAAAAATAATTGTGACACTAGTAATAAAAATAACATAAATAAGAGAGAATATAAGTCATCTACAGTTCTACTATATAAGGAGGGGACATCTGAGACCCTACGTAAGATTCTTAATAATGCAGGAATTAGGGTGGTATTTAAACCTACAAACTCACTAAACGACAAGCTCTGTAGGTTAAAGACCCAGTTGATCCAATTAGACAAAATAATATAATATACAAAATACGCTACAATGACTGTGAGTAAATTCAACTACATAAGTCAAACTAGTAGGTCAGGGGCAGTCAGATTGTCGGAACATAAGAATTTAGCTAAGGTAAGAATGGTTGACCCTGAAAAGATAAGTAATTTAGAAAAAAGCTCAGCAAGTGCACTACATGCATTAACACACAACCACACAATAGGGTGGGAGAGGGTTAAGATTCTCAGAAGTAATCTATGTAGGTGGAGACAGAGAGAGAGAGAGATTGATTACCGAATCCTTCTTCATCATCGAGTCTACACCCAACACATGCAATAGGAACGATTCATCACTCATACCGGAAATACGGAAAATACTACTACCAATCAAATCAAGCGAAAATCAAGTGAAAAACAATGGAACTATATAAATGAAATTAGGAAGTCGTGTGAGTACTGCCTTGATATGGTTATGAGCAGTGATAAATTGTGCTCGAAACGTTATCAGTAAACATTAGTGTATAACACTGGGAGAGTTTATCAAAACAAAATTAACCCATAATTGAATTCTGACTCTTGTTAACTCCTGATAGAGGTCTACCCTCAATCAATGCCTTCGATGGTAGGCATCCTTGTTCATTTTCACACAGTAGAAGTTACTAGTCACAACAACTTTCCTGAAGGACAGTTTCAGGACGTCAATCCAATAGCCATCAATGGGCTAGATACAGACTAATATTTACACTGTGCGTTTTTCTAGAAAATGTACATTAAATTCAATTTAAACATCATACAATACTGGGTTAACAGCGCTAAATGTTAAAATCAGGTATTCAGTTGACAGTTTTATAAAATTATTTATGGAAAGAAAGAATTTACCTCAATCTCCCATAGTGCTTTTGAGCTTTTTGCTGTAGTTGTTGCTGTTCGAAATGTAGTACGCAGAAACACGTGCAGCTCATTTTGATATTCATCACACGTCAGAAATTTTTCTGATTCACTGTGAAATAATCTAATCACATCACCCTAGAAAGTTAAATAGTTAATTATTAATTATTGTTATTTATTATTACATATTATTATATTATTATTTTTTTCCTTTAAGTTCCCATTGGAACATAAGGCTTCAAGCTGGAGGCTTGAAATTTCAGTTGCAGTGGTGTTTCTTTTACTGGATGGTAGAGCACGCTGACCGCTTCAATTATTTCTGAAGTTACATCACCCAACACCGACGGATTGATCTCTGGCGAAATCTCAGCACAGATACAGAGGGCTAGTTTCTCTGGCGTAGACGTGACATCTGGCTGGCTGGCGGCCAAAAAGCGTGTGTACTGCTGAGCAGTCCGCTCCATCCTCCTTTATTTCTGTGAAACCTTGCCATTGAGAGTGGAAGACATGAAAAGCCTGGCTAGCTGTCTTTGGTCATAGGTGTCTGCGATCTATCTCTCGTGTGAAGTGGTAGGTGTAATAGGGTGAGCAGTATTGAGTGAGGTACATGTCGAATGCTAGGTGGGAAGGGGAAATCAGTTGACGAGGCTGTGAGGTTACACCGATTGAGATGGTTAGAAAATGTGTTACGCATGCCTGGCCATCACCTTCCTCGACAATGGACAATGCTAGATTAGTGACATACGATCAGGTTGGAAAAGCGCCAGGGGTGGTCAAACCAAAACATGGCTTCTTCAGTCAATGAAATCCCCAACAGTTAGTTTAAGCCAGTCTCCAAGTAGGAGGTGTAGACTTCCTGACTGGTTGGGATCCTCGGGACGTAAACACCAATGAAAGCTGATGACAATTGGTGATGTGACTCAAAATCGTTCTCAGTGATGGCGTAGACGCATCCACTCCTTGTGACTTATAATATCCAATAAAACTATATCGTTCTTCGTTATTACTATTCCTTTTGTCTCATATCTCTTTCTACTGTCTCTATTATACATTTCTTCTACTTTCTTCTCTTGCACTGTGTTACATGGAGTGTGGTGACTTGAACTGGTGCACATCGGTGCAAAGTTGAAAACATACAGACAGGATGGGGTTGCTAGGCTCATGCTCAACCTCCCCCCTCTTTCCTAGTCTTATCACTAGCTTAGCGAGGTAAAGGAGTGAGTTGGTGGCCGAAGATCGAATCCCAGACCACTTGAGTGGTCGGCAGGCGTTCTACCGCTGTGCCACCGACGCAAATGCTCATCAATAAAATACAATAAATGTGAAGCAAATGAAAGTTATTTGTCGGCAACAAAATCGGACTATAAACATCCATTCTTGACACTTATTAGTTTTGAGCTTTTGAAGATTTTATAGGTTCGACTTCATCTTCGCAATATGATCTTTTTTGTTCATCATAACAACACTCGAAACTTTATCTGATAGTAATATTACTACTATGTGAGAGATGTTTTCAGTGCTTTCTGGCATCTTTTGGACAACACGCTCGATTTCTGGGTTGGTGATCCATCATATTGACTAGTAATGTCAACCAAATTAGCTTTGAACCAACACTTTCCATCTTTAAATCTTTGGTTTACGATCTACCAAGTGAGTCAGTAAATTCTCAAATTGTGCCCCACTGACAATTCTGTCGGTAAACTTTATTTTTCTCTAAGTGAAACTTGAATCAAAGTAAGAGTTTTTCACATTGAACTTGAATCAATTTTATTTTCGATAGGTCACAAATATTTTGGTTTGAGTTCTCGAGCGAAGCTTCATTTAATTACTCTTTAATGAAGCCCTTTGACAGGGTAAGTCAACTAACAGATTTTAAACCAAAAAGAAGGGAAGACGGAAGGAACTGATTCAACTCAGAATTCGTTAACATTCTCAATTAGTATCTTGTATCTGTCTGTCTGTCTGTCTGTTTTTGACATAGAACTTTGCACCAATGTTCAGCAGTCCAAGTCGCCACACTCCCCACATGTAGCACACAAAGCAAGAGAAGAAAGTAGAAGAAATGCATAATACAGACAGTAAACAGAGGTGTGAGACAAAGGAATAGTAATAACGAAGAACAATATAGTTTCATTGAAAAGTATAAGTCACAAGAAGTGGAGGAGTCTGTGCCATTGAGAACGATCACTTTGAACCATATCACCAATTGTTTCCAACCATTGGTTTTTACCGTCTCAAGGACCCCAACCAGTTAGGAAGTCTACACCTTCCTACATGACTGGCTTAAACTAACTGTTGTGGGTTTCATCGACTGATGAAGCCATGTTTTCGTTTGACCACCACTGGCCTGATCAACTCTCTGTCAGATAACATTGCCCATTGTCGAGGAAGGCGATGACTAGGCATGCGTAACACATGTCCTAACCATCTCAGTCGATGTAATTTCACAGCCTCGTCGATTGATTTCCCCCTCCTTACCTAGCACTCGATGCCTAACCTCAATATTGCTCATCTTATTATACCATATAACACCATATCATATCTTGTATCCCTAACCCTACAATCCAGTGTGCTGTCGAAGAAGTACTAAGAAGCACTGAAATGTCTCAAAGATAATCACCAAACAGTAAGTAAATAATATTACAGTCCGTTGGATAAAAAAAATCATCCCAGTAATATACGTTTCTGTGATATTAGATAGATAGGTAGATAGGCAATCGGCAGGGAGCCTTCCACTTAGGTTTCGTGCCAGTTGGCACTCACCAGTCAGCGAGGAGTATCTGCAACCACCTTGAAGGAACTCATGTCCCTTCTGAGATTCGAACCCGCGTCACCCAGTCGAGCTGCAGTCAGAGACGTTACCATTGAGCTACTATTTCTGTTTTCTATAAACCAATAGCCTGTTAATTGTAATGTGCGTCGGTGGTACAGCGGTTAGGAAGTGTATGGCATTCATCGTCTTCAAATAATAGCAAATGGGCTAGGTACATACACTGTACATTTATATATGACAAATACAGAAAAGAAAAACTCAAAAATCACTGATTACTTGCCCCTTTTAGTATATGTTCCAAATTATCCTGATAACCTAAGTAGACGTTGATTTGCCAACTTGTATTATTACTGCTATTGTTATTATTATTGTTATTATTGCTGTTATTATTCTGCTGATGAAGATGACTGATATTTTGATGACAACCATTTGTTAATAATTTGTGTTGCTTAGTAATACTGTTGTCGTTATTATTATTATTATTAGTAGTAGTAGTATAAGTGAGTTTCGGATCGAGCTGATCGATATTAAGAGCACAACCAGCACGACTAGCAAGGAGAATCACTTTATCACCAATTACAACCTAAAGAGAGGAAGAAAGAAAGACAATAACTTGTATAATCCTATTGAAATAAAGGAATAATATATATATATATATATATATATATATATATATATATATTCCTCCTGAGAGAGAACGCAATGACAATTATTATCATTTTTATTATTTCCTTTAATTTCTAGAGGAACATAGAGCTTCAGCTGCACGTCTCTATCGCGTTCGGTTCTCTGCTAAAGTTTTCACCTGGCTCCAAGTCTGCCCACATGCTTCATCTCCTCTTCACATGACCTCCTCCAAATCACCCTTGCACTGACGACCAACTCGCCGCTTCCCTTTCGGCCTGGTTCCACTCGAGCGATGGCTTGTCTAGCGATGTCACTCACTTGATGGTTTCCTCAGAGTATGGCCAATCCACCTCCATTTCTTCTTGCCTATTTGTTGCACGATCTGTTCCAGCTGGGTTGGTTCGCTCATTGCCAAAGATCCCTGTTTCTCATCTTTTCTGTCCCACCATCTGATCTTCAGTACTGAGCGAAGGCAGCTATTGATGAATGTCTGTAATTTGTTTGAGGTGGTCTTCATGACGCGTCAAGTCTCTGATCCACATAGTGAGTAGCACTGACTTCACGTTGAAGTTGAAAATCCGAATATTATTTTCATTGTCATGCTGAGTAGTGGCTGTTGACCTCCATACAGACTTGAGAGTAATGAAAGCTTGTCTCGCTTAATAATTTCAGCCTGTATCGCGAATGACCCTTAGGACTTCCAGCGAACATGGAGATGACAGAGGTGATGAAGGCAACCGACCACAAACACCAACAACAACAATAACAACGACAAGAACCAATCCATCATCAGAGAAAGAAAGCTGAAGGAAGTCGCTTTTTTCACTTACTTCAACTTGGCAGCATCGTTTCAGTGGTAGGCAACTGACACTGATGAGGATCTCAAAGCCATACAGGAGTGGGAAAGCAAGACAGACTTTCACTAATCTCCGAAAATCCTACATACTGTACACAACGAACAAGATTCCGAACGTCAAGTTAGTCAGTGCATCTCTAGTGGTTTTATATTGGTCGCCCAAAATATTTCCAACAGACTGCTTTCGACTTGTATCAAACTCTGCCTTCTCTGGCTCGATAGTAAAGATTAAACGACCAGTCGGTGAGATAGAATAAGTAACAAGAATATCTAGCAGGCAATGAACTAGTTAACCACCTATGAAGCTCCTGGGTTCGAACCTTGGTGGGCGCCTGCCGTCGGACAATCCCAAAATACGAGAAAATAGTTGTTCAGCCCTTCTTCATGGTTCTCAATGGTTCTTTAAATGATATCACTCCACAATGAGACATTCAACAAATCAAATTTCTAAAAATTAATTCTTGAAAAAAATTATGCGTTGAATAACGAAAGAATGAACATACTTACAATCAGGATAATAATACGAGCCCGTTTTGTCTCGTCAACTCTCTTCAACTGCATACATCATAAGTAAACCAACTGTATATTACAAAATGGTGTTTGAACATACTTTTTACACTGATTTTAAGTTACAGATAGACAGTATAAGCAATATAATTTCAAAGATGATGTAAGCGGAAAATTATTCGGCGTTAAAACATTAACTATTTATATATTTTATACGAGTTTGACCACGGACTGATATCACTTAGAGAGAGAACCATTGAAAACCAGTACTGGAGTACTTCCACACAGCTGTTTCATCCTAGCGTGAGAAACATCGGACATACGCACCCACCACTAGGGTTGGAACCCAGGACCTTCCGGTTACAAGGCAAGCTGGCTCGTTTACCATTCAGTCACTGGGACCCGATTCAATGGCCAACTTGTGATGCAGTTAGCGCCATCACAAACCAGTGTCATCAGTGGGAACTCAATCTTCACACGTGACATCTGGATGGACCTCACTAGTCACAACTTCTCACTAGAACTGCAGGAAACTCTGTTCCGTAGCAAGTCACTGGCGAGCAAGAGTTTCGATGGAGTTCCCACCGATGACGCTGGTTTGTGGTAGCGCTGATTGCATCACGAAGTGGTGGAGGTTAGAATTCACGGACTGGTGGCCATTGAATCGGGTCCTAGCGACTAGAAGGGTATACGAGCCAGCTTGCCTTGTAACCGGAATGTCGTGAGTTCGAACGTCAATGATTCCCAAACTAGTCAGATGAAACAGCTGTCTGACAGTACTCCAGTACTGGTTTTCAATGGCTCTCTCTCTAACTGATGTCAGTCCATGATCAAACTCGTATAAATAAATCTCACCCTTACAAACCAATTTCTTGAAAATATATATAGTAATTAGACAAGATGGACGTAGACTTCAGAGCTGGTTTGAAAGCAAGAATGGACTAGAGACAAAATACAAGATAGATCTGCAGACTTAATTCATACATATCATAGTATAGTACTCAGGTGTGGGTGTGTGGATGAATAATGAAGTTAAATTATAAAATACAGACAAAATAATTTAATGAAGTAGATTTAAAACTTTAACAGTGAATTCAACTCAGTCAGTGAGTGAAAATCAAAATCAAAACTGAGTGAAATGTTACGCAACAAAACAAAACAATTATGGTTACCAGAGTAGTAAGAGATTAGTCATACTGTCCTTTTGAATGCATAGGTCAGGTTGAATGAAATATTTTGATGTCAATGGCTTCTGTGAACCGAATTGACCCTGGTTTTCTTTGTGTATTGATTATTTTGAAAGTCTGACTAATTTCCAGTGTATGTCTCAAAATAATTGTCTGCTTACATCATCTTTAAAATCATGTTGCCTGTGCTTTCTGTCTATAACTTGAAATCATTGTTAAAGTATGTTCAGAAACCATTTTGCACCATAGAATTGATTTGTTTATGATATGTGCAGTTGAAGAGAGTTGATGAGATAAAAACAGCTCGTATTATTATCAACCTGACTGTAAGTATGTTCGTACTTTCTTTGTTCAAACTAATAAAGACAACTGGCTGTATGAAAACTTAATCTGATAACCTCCATCGACTGGCTACAAGTCAGCGTTTCATGGAGTTATTGTGAGAAATGGTGATTGGTAGGGTGTACCAAGTTTGGTGAGAGTAAAAATACTCGGTCATAAAACTAGAGGGTGGTTGCGCTAAAAATACGAATAATATTATTAATAATAACAGTAATAATTTAACACGTATATCTAACCAAAAACTTACAGGATCACCCAACTGTTTATGCTTGTACAATGGTTGAATTATAAACCATGATTCATCCCCTTCATATTCTTCCAATGTAAATCGAACAGAAGCATTCTTAAATTGAGGTGATATCTCTTTTTTCGCTCGAAGAATTTTATTCGACTTTACATGAATAAGCTAAAAGTTCAGTAATATTTTTTTTAATTTTTAAGGAATTGTTTGAACACAAAGATTGAAAACAGTGTTACTTTCACAGAAATAACATACCCTAAAATAAAGTAAACTGATTATTATTATTTCCTTTAATTTCTAGAGGAACATAGAGCTTCAGCTGCACGTCTCTATCGCGTTCGGTTCTCTGCTAAAGTTTTCACCTGGCTCCAAGTCTGCCCACATGCTTTCATCTCCTCTTCACACGACCTCCTCCAAATCACCCTTGCACTGACGACCAACTCGCCGCTTCCATTTCGGGTTCCACTCGAGCGATGGCTTGGCGTGTGATGTCACTTGATGGTTTCCTCAGAGTATGGCCAATCCACCTCCATTTCTTCTTGCCTATTTGTTGCACAATCGGTTCCAGCTGGGTTGGTTCGCTCATTGCCAAAGATCCCTGTTTCTCATCTTTTCTGTCCGGCCATCTGATCTTCAGTACTGAGCGAAGGCAGCTATTGATGAATGTCTGTAATTTGTTTGAGGTGGTCTTCATGACGCGTCAAGTCTCTGATCCACATAGTGAGTAGCACTGACTTCATGTTGAAGTTGAAAATCCGGATGTTATTTTTGTTTTTGAGTGCTGATGATCTATCTCCACACAAACTTGAAAGAAATGAAAGCTTGTCTTGCTTTCCCGATCCTCGCCGCTTTGATATCCTCATCATTTCCGCCTGTATTTGAAACGATGCTTCCCAGGTAGGTAAAGGAGGTTGCTTCATTCAGGTTCCTCCTAATTATGCTGATTATTGTCTGCTGTTGTTGTTTCTGCTGCTGTTGGTGTTACCCAGGAATCTTCATCACCTCTGTTTTGTCTATGTTTACTTGGAGTCCTATCTTTGATGCCTCTTCTGCCAACTTATTGCTTTTCAATTGCGTATCTTCCAGTTTGTGAGAAATCAAACATATATCATTGGCGAAGTCCAGATCCTCCAAGTTTCTCGTTAGGGTCCATTTTATGCCCGTTTCCTTGCTGCCCACTGCTGTATGTCGCATTATCCAATCTACTGCAACCAGGAAAATCATTGGCGATAGTAGGCACTCAGCCAGCTTGTCTTACTCCCATCTTCACTTCAAAGGATTCCGTGAGTTTCGATTACTTTGCATGCAAAATTATCGTACAACTGTTGGATGAAGTGTATAATTGTCGGAGGCACCCCGTAGCAGAGAAGTAGTTGCCAAATCACCTCTCGACAGATGCTGTCTGCTCAAAGCCTATTCAAAGTCGATGAATTTGAGATAGAGGGTTGACTGTCATTCCAAGCTCTGTTCAATGATGATCCGTAGTGTGTAGACTGAAGTACCTTTCAAGTTCACCTCATCTTTATTTTTTATAATATTGTAACTTGCAACAGAGAACTAAAGCTTTACTCCATTAAGTAGAAAAAGAAACCTCATCAAATCCCTTGTCACAAGAATCAGTCGCATACTCATGGAAGATACATTAAAGTACAGAACTAAAGTGTTTTCGATTCACTACCCAGTGAAATCCATCAACAGACATATGGAATATAAGACAGGAGTATCAAAGAAACAGTTATTTGTAAATCTGAAATTCATGCGTGACAACAGAAATCCTTCCAACCGTAATGTAGAGAGCACTTCTAAGAACATTCTTTAATGGATGTTTTACTTCTCATCTTCTCCATACAACCTGTCATTCTTTAAAACATAGCAGACAACATTCCACCGCTGGCAGCATCCATGCGCATGTCACCAGTTCACTTGCTCCAATGGAGATAACTACGTAGGTCGTATCAGTAGGACACCGATTAAACGCACACAATAATACATCATTATTAACTGGATGACATTTGCAGCACAATTTACTGTTACTCATAATGATATCACTCCATTCAAATGACTTCATAACTCAGTAGAAGACAAACTCTCTCGGTTTAAGGACGTGGCAGTGCTAACTAAGAAGAATAATATAATTTACTAAATACCATGTAATGACTATGAAGCCAGTAACATTGGTTAAACCAGTAGATCAAGGTCAATTAGATTATTAGAACACAAGAGTCCAGACAGATCCAGAATCATACGCCCTGCCAAGTTATACAATCTAAAAAAGACTAAGGTATTGCATTTAATCACATAATAGGGGGGGGATATGGGGAAAGCATTAGAAAGTAATTTAGTTAGGTGGAGGAGACAGAGAGAGGGAGATTAATCATTGAAACTTTGTCCACCAAATCAAAACCAAACACGTGTATTCGAAACAAACCGGCACCAACCCGAGGCACATCAAAAACTGAAATAAACGACAGAAGAGAGTAAAGCCTTATAAGGAAAGTTAGAAAGTCTTGTGAATATACATGTATATATATATATATATATATATATATATACATTGATATGATTGTGAGCAGTAGATTGTGTTTAAAATGTCATCCACTTATCACTACTGTGTGTGTGTGTGTGTTAATCAACTAAACTTATTTCATATGAAATAGTTCGTCTTACTTGTAAGGATAGAATAAATTGAAATTACTAATCGAAATGCTCTCTGTGTATGAAGATATTTCTGATAAATTTGACAATTACACCAGGCCACTTTATTAATGTTTATATATTTTATACATCGGTCATCTAGATCAACGGCCACATGATATAAACCAAGCCAAAACTTTCAAAATCGTAGCGGAATCTGAATTAGAATACTGAGTGATCAAAGTAGTTGTCAGTTTTCAACAATGCTAAAAAGGTGTGAATATATACGCCTAAATTTTAGAGCGGATATCAAGTTCACCATGTTAAACACTTATTCATAACTTAAATGAATCTAGTCCCCTAACTAGTAAACCACATTGACCCGGGTGCATATATTTATTTACCATATATTTTTTCAAATAACGAGGCTGAATTTTAAAAAAAAAGAACACAAATGAAAAGGAATGAACATCCCCTCTCAGACGCATTAATGTGACTGTGACAAGTACTGTCAAGTTGCTAATACAGTTTAGTGATAGAAGAAATTGACTTTATCGAGAAAATGTTGGGTGAAAGTGTATTACAGATTTGATCATGAGTTGACATCGGTTAGAGAACTACTGTAAATCATCACCGAATACTGGACAATTATCCTGTCCTAGTTTAGGACTTTTCGCCAACACGTACCCGCCAGTAAGGTTCCAACTTAGTGGGATCCACCAAGTCAAGTAAGAAGTCACTTACTCATCACTTATGACACTGCCCGGCAAAAGCGAGCTTTATATATCGCGAATTGGCTAAAGCCAGAATTAATGGGCCACTCCATCGGGTTCCAGTAGATGAATGGTCTAAGAGCTCACCTCGTAACCGAAACATCCAGGGTTCAAACCCCGACAGATGATGACCAATGAAGAGTCCCTAACTGGAATGAAACACCTTTCCTGCACTCCTAGGTTTTACAATGGCTCTGTACCGATGTTAACTCGCGATCAGACCTGTAACCAATCAAATCCCTGCAAACTAAAAGTTAAAAGCATGCTAGTTAATAAATAGTAATTAACCAGTTAATTTTTGTCAGAGGTCGACTGAATTCCTATTATCAATCTAGAATATTCCATATTTTGCTGCAACTCAACGGATAGGACAGTATATCTGCACCAAATTAGCGCAATGATAACATTTCTGGCTTTCATACCAGTTAACACAGGTTGTAATCTCTAAAATAACATTAATCTCATTGGCATATCTCAGATTTATCATGCTGAACAATTCTAAAAAGCATAAGAAATGGGTGAATCAGGGCTTCTTTTCAGTAGCCCCTCAACCACTTCATAAGGTGATAATGGCATTACTTATAGAATGACAAGGTATACTAGAAAAACGTCTGCTAATTACACAGAAATTCATTTCCATGTCATTTCACTGTTGTTTTATTGTTTTTTCTTTCTTTTTATTTATTTCTTTCCTTCACGTTCCCCAGTGGAATATAGGGCTTCAAGCTAGTGGCTTGAAATTTCTGTAGCAGTGTTTATTTTTACAGGATGGGGTCGCTAGCCTCATGCCCAACCTTTCCTCTCTACCAGGATTATTTCTGGCTTAGCGATTTAAAGGAGTGCATTGGTGGCCTGGGATCGAACCCCGGACCATGTGCATGGTCGGCGAGTGTCCTAACCGCTATCATACCAACGCAGTACTTTCTTTATTTGCGTTTGAAATACTTTGTGAGGTGACATAACTAGCGATATTATAAAGTAAAATGTTAACGTATTTTCCAACACTGTAAATTTTTAGGAATGATAAATTCTTGACTAAACTGTATAGTCTTGACCACCTATTAAAATATAATTGCCACATAAATCTGTTTCAGTGAGAAAACTAAATTACAAATCTTTTCAATTGTTTAACATAACATTTAATAAGTAAATAGCAGTGTTTCTCCTAACTGACTAAACTTCTTCATCAGTCTCATGCTGTTAAACTACAGAGGTGATTTAGTGCTTATTTTATTAAAAATAAAGAAATGGTTCCATAGTGGTCATACATATCGTAAGATCTGGTAGTGTTTTATGACAGTTCAATTTGCTGCATATTGCATCAGAATTTCAAGCCAGTTGTCAATCAAAGTTTTTTTTTACTTCTTTACGTCCCCAGTGGAATATAGGGTTCAAGCTATAAGCTTGAAGTTTCAATACCATTAGCTTTTGTTTTTAAGGGATTGTGTTGCTAGCCTCATGCCCAACCTTCCCTCTTCACCGGTCTTATTACTGGCTTAACTAGATAAAGGAGTGTGTTGATGGCCGGGGATGGAACCCTAGACCACCTGAGTGGTTGGCAGGCGTTCTACCGCGTTGCTACAGAATCACAAAGAAAAGCAGGAAGGAGTAAATTACAGAAGACTATGGAAAAAAGACAGAAACAAAATAACACAAGCAAAAATACACAATGTTAGAAAGTGGATGACTGAATGAGTTTCAACTGTGTACAGAAGTACAGCAATTCAAGTTTCCACACTGTCTATGCAGCACATAAAAGTAGAAAAAAGAGGTGAATGCAAATCTAGTATAAGTACATCAGTCCCACTGAAATTACTTTTTCGGCACCATCTATCCGTCTTCTTGGGAAACCCACTTTCTTTGACGTGAACTGGCACAACCCTTATAAACTTCACTGCCTGATATCGAGTCTTAGCTCTTCAAATTTTTTAACTCAATCCTAATTTATTCAATATTAGGCTTTGAAGTAGACATTGCATTAAAATACGTAAAGTATGTCTCAGTCATCTAAAATGGTGAATATTCAAAGCTTCAAATGATTTATTTCCTTCATCAAACCGTTAAAATCCTTCACTGTAAAGGGTGATGTCTTGAAGGGGAAAATTACAGTAAGCCACATTTCCATGCGGTGTACCTGGCTCTTGATGAAAACATGTCACATATACAGCAATCAATACTACCTGGATGAAAACGTCAAGGTGATCTGTGACTCATATTAGGACGATTTTGTCTTCTATGATAAGCTAAATGTCTTTCCCGATCAAAAAATCTGCTTAATAATATCAAAAGCTGTAAAAGACGCTTATAGGTATTTTAATCTAAAGGAATTTTGTTTGTCTAATGAGAAACACTGAATTCTATCTGTGTTCGGTCATTTTGACATGTTAAGCTAAAACAAATCTATAGGAAACAGTGAATTGCAAAGCCGAAAACTCCATATACTTTCATGATGCACTTTTTTTCTTACGCTGTTTTTAAAAAATGGAAGCAATTTTCAACAGGGCCGATATCCATATCCTTAGTTAACATTTCTATCAGGTGACTTGACAGACAGAGATTTGTACTGGTCAAATCAACTTGGACTCCAAAGTCTTTCATTCTGTTTCTATCCAAAACATCTTGTAAGTGCTAATGGAAAAGGGACAAAAAGCATTGTGATTAGGCTGTTTACAATTTTATTAGCTACTTCCACTTTTGTCTCACAGATTAGCACAAGATAGTCATTTACCTGGAATAATTAAACTCTCGAACGAAATTGAGGGATTTGGTCACCAGAAGCTGAATTTCGCTTAAAATATTACTTTTACTCTGTGCGTGTAAAATAGAAACCTGAAGTTTCTGGACCCGTTCTTAAAAAAGCAACCAATAAAATCCAAATCAATGAAACCTGAAGGCGTCAGTGTCACAAGTAAAAGTTAAGTGGACATAAGACAAGTGTAATTTTATAAGTAGACCTATAGAGGCGTGAAAATGCTTTCTTGAAGGAGCATTTACTAGAAGAATTTCATTCACATTTAGTTTATATAACAGCAAGTCTGTACCACGGATTGGAGTGATCCAAACTTTTCGGAAGTGACATGCCTTAGTAAAGATATCTGGAGTATATTTGGGTGAGTCAGTGGGTTGATGCAAACTTTTAGCATTCAGGTTCTCAACAAGACCATTTATGATTGGCCTGTGCATAAAAACAGCGCAAAAAAACCAATGATGAGTATTTGAGATAGACAACATATATGACAGTAAAACACGAAATATTAATATAAGACCAAACAGAGTTAAAATGACTTCAAAAAGAAACAGTAACACTTCTATTTAGAATTCAAAGTGTGAGGGAAGTGACTGTCACATAAGACATGTTTTGTATAACATCCTAGCGGTTTTCGAGTGCTGTCGTGTGTCTTGCTCAGTTGAACGTTGAGTTTCTCAAAAATTGCCTGTCAATGAAAATTTTTACCTCAAGGTATATCCCAACGCAACAGACTTGACAGCTTTTATTTCGAGTAGAAACTTGCAAATTTGCTGAGATTTTTAAAAGAGGAGCTTCTTCATCGTGACTTTTTTCCCAAAACACTCAAGCATGAAAAAAATAAGTGACCAAAACCATTTACCTCAATAATGCTTCCATAATACACCACAGATTCACTTAGACGCCCCTGTAATTTACTGTGTTGCTCATTATCATGTTTGAAATCCTCCTTTCAAAAGTAGAAAAGCTTCAAAATCAAGCTTACTAAGTTATATTCTGCACCAAAGCTAGTTTCTTCTTTTCGGAAACAGTCGTGAAATATATTTCTCTGCATAGCAAAGATAAAGAAGCGAGAATCTGAAAGACTAATAACTGTATGATAGAACTACCTCTAGTCAGAGTTGATACAGTCAACTGGTCACTGTTTATACGTATAACACTAGGTTTGTTACTAATTTGACTACATATTGTGCTCATAAATAAAACATACACTCAACCTACCCCTCCATACAAAGCAACCCACCATTCTTATCATTAGAATACAGTGTTATCTGATCCCCGAAATGTACCAGCTCAGTGCTGTCCTCGCTTTCTCGGTGGAACCTCATCCCAACTGAATCCACCACATTCAAATTAACGCTATTATCTTATTTCCGAGTCGATTTATAATACCGCCAGAAAACATCCAATATCCAATATCCTGATGACGAGCTAGTATAAACCAGTGATTTCTTTGAGCTCGCTTCTTGATTGTGAGGTAGAGGTTCCAGATCTTCGGTGAGCTTCTGCGTAGTAAGTCCCGACACTCGACTGCTTTAGCTCTGGTAGACTCCAGGAGGAGTGGTGCGGGGATTGGTCGAGATGTGGTTTGTAGTATGCAGTATGTTAGGACTGTATTGCTGCCGTGAATGGAGTTTGACCTAACTCCCCTTGGTCATTCGGTGTAGTCATAAAAGCAGAATAGTAATAATAATAATAGGTTGTAGTGTAGATAATATAGGTTGAGATAAGTGGAATAATAAAGGTGACCTAAGGAAAAGATAGAGTGAGAGAAGGCAGAATAGGTCGTGGGGATTTAGTTTGTACGCTTATTCATTGACAGTTTGGTTTCAAATTTTATGAGGATAAGCCATTGAGACACAAACCTTGCATTTCTGCATGATTGTCTAGCTTCCGCTTAAAAATCTCCAGAGATGGCGCTGTAGTCACGGCCGCCGGTAAAGCGTTCCAGAGACGGCAAACACGAAGCGAAAAGAAATGTGATCGCACTCGAGTCTTTGGTCTCTGGTGTGCTATCCTTAGCGGGTTACCTCGTGGAAGCCTATAATCGCTTAATGGCAGGATGCTTTTATTTGGGTGGGCCTGGTCATTTAGGATCTTGTAGACGGTGATGAGGTCTCCCCTGTGCCTACGGTAACTGAGTGTGAAAAGACCTAATTTCTTTAGTCTTTCCTCATATGATTTGTTGCGGAGGCCGATCACCCATTTTGTCGCTCGTCTCTGGACACTTTCTAGAATGTTAGCATCCCTTTTGAGTAGCGGAGGTGCAATGATATTATGCACCTCAAGGTGTGGCCTCACATATGCCTTGTATAGCCTTAAGAACAGTTCGGGAGTGAGAGCTCCCAGCTGCCTGTGCATAAAGTGTAATGTTGCGTAGGCTTTGGCGACGTCCCTCGAGTAATTTCCACTGGTGTCTAGCTTTTCTGTTAGAATAAGACCTAGATCACGCTCTGATGGAACACAACTCAAGTTCTGGCCACCAAGGGTGTAATTTACACTCTGTGACCTGCCGGAATGAAGCTGCACTACTTTGCACTTCTTTAGATTGAAAGGCATTCCGTTAGCCAAAGCCCAATTTCCCAGAGTTTGCAGGTCAGCCTGCAATCTATCTGAGTCTTCCGATGAGTTTATTGCTCTCCAAATCTTTACGTCGTCAGCGTAAAGAAGCGCAGAGCAGTTTAGTTGGGGGGGCAGGTCATTGATAAAAATCAAAAACATCAACGGCCCTAGGATAGAACCCTGAGGAACCCCTGATGCCGAGGTGTGCCAGGATGATCGGATGCGGTTGACTTTGGTGCAGAATTCTCTCTCGCCTAAGTAATCTGTCAGCCATGCGAGAAGTGCTCCAGAAACTCCCGCCTTGCCTATTTTGTGAAGGAGCAGACCATGGTGAACTGTGTCGAATGCTTTCGCAAAGTCGAGAAAGATCACGTGGGCTGGTACCTTTTTGTCCCAGGATAGTGTCCAATCGTTCCAGGCTAGTAGAAGATTCGTCACGCAGGATCTTCCCCTCCTGAAACCGTGCTGTGCTTCGTGAAGAAGGTTAGTCCCATCGAAGTATTTTCTCATGTGGTCGTCAATGAGACTTTCCAATATCTTCGATACCACTGGAAGTAGAGCAACTGGTCTGTAACTGGTCACATTCTGCCGGTCACCACCCTTGAAGATAGGGGATAGGATTGCACGTTTCCATTCACATGGAAGTTTCCCTACATCAAGGGAGTGTTGGAACAGATCACTTAGGGGTTGACAGAGACTTTCTGAACACTGCTTCAGGACAGATGGTCTGATGCCATCACAACCTGGAGACTTTCCCGAAGCCAACCTTCCCAATTTTGCAAGTACCATAGCCGGGGTAATTTGAAATGTCCCCAGCAGGTTTTCGTGTGTTGGTTCTGCGATGTAATCTGGATGTTCTGTAGGGGTAATATCCTCGTTACTATTTAGTTGCCTGTGAAAGGCTAGGCTGAATGTCTCTGCCATTTCAAGACTAGTAAGAGATTTCCCATCAGAACCCACTAGATTGCATGCTCCCTGGTTGGTCGGTTTTCTTTCGGCCATAAACCTGTATAGGCTTTTGGGGTTCACGAGAAGCTTATTGGCGAGGTCTCCCTGAAATGTCCTTCTATCGCTCCGGACTCGTATGTTACATCGATTCCTGAGTTCAAGGTACACTTCATGTTCGGGTTGACTCTTCGATCGTCGCCACGCGAACCAGGCTTTACGCTTTGCCTGCAGAAGGCGTTGTGTCCCTCTTTTCAGCCATGATCGTTGCTTCCTAGCTTTTGGTGAGACTAAAGGAACAGTGTCTGAGACCGCCTGGTGAATGATTTCCTTTACCACTCTCCAGTGTTCTTCTACTGTTAGCTCTGTCCATTTTTTAGGCCAGTTTGCTTCAGACAGAAGTCTTCGCATTTTGGTGTAGTTGGCTTTGTTATAACACAGATAGGGCTGTGTATTGTCCCACTGTAAGCGCTCGCGGAGGACTATGTCGAATACTATGACCGCGTGGTCACTACTACCTATGGGAGTCGTGATCTGAACGTTTTCCACTAGTAGCTGGTCACTAGTGAGCACGTAATCCAGTCTAGAAGACTTCCCATCAGGGCCCCATCTAGTATCCATCTTGACATTTTCAGTGAATCCAGCCTTCCTGATGGTATGCAGCAGATTTCGATCAAATCTATCATGGGCTTTTCCCGACACCAAGTTAAGAGATGGGGCATTGAAGTCACCAGCTATGACAATTTGATCATAACCCATGTCTTGAGTCGCTGAAATTGTATTTAGCAGTACCTGGTTATGGTCTGCTCCACATGAAGGTGATCGATAAATGCTGCCCACTAGATATTTGCAGTACCCAACGGTGAAGTGGCACCATATGGAGTCAGGGAGCTCTGTGAGGGGAGGGTCCGTCGCGTGAACACATCTGAGCTGTTTGTCGACGTATATGGCGACTCCACCTCCTTCTTTCAGGTCCCTATCTCGCCTGACTAGGACCATATCATTTATACTGACTTCGCTGTCTGCCACCGTAGGGGTTAGCCAGGTTTCCGTCAGTATTATGATTTTGGAGTTTAGTTGTGATTGTAGGTGTCTAAGTTCAGCTATTTTGCCTCTTAGCCCTCTCACATTACTATACAGGCAACTGGTAGTCAGTCTCACCACTTCCCCGTATTGGGGGGTAGTTGACTTGATATTGGCTATCGGTTGAGGAGTTATCCTACGAACTAGTTGGCCGATTCCCCAGGAACCGGCCTGTTGGCGTTTTTTTCTTCTAGTTCAGTTGGAGCACTCGGATGACACTGGCTATCATCGTCCGTGCTGCACCGCTGTAGTGTGACTAGGGGTTGAGGATTTTCTTTTACTACGCTTTGTTCTCTCCTTTGAGTGCGAGGCCGGCTCTCGCAGCAGCGAATTGGTATTACTATTTGAACAACAGATGAAATTAATGGGAATGTTCGTCAACCAACAGACTGGTCCAGCTTCACCTTCAAGCAATCCCAATCACACCATGCTACCATCTGTCGACGGCATTGTGAACAGTATTTCAAAGTTCAATTATGACCCAGAGGCTAATGTCACTTTTGACACATGGTATCAACGTTATGAGGATTTATTCACTGTTGATCTCGTCTCACAAGACGATGCCTGGAAGGTGCGAGTGTTGTTACGTAAATTGGGTGCCGCAGAATATGAACGGTACTGCAACCTAATTTTACCCCAAAAACCACGTGACAAGTGTTTCGATGATACAATAAAGCTGCTGCGTGAACATTTTGGAGACCACTCCTCATTATTCAGCATACGTTATCGTGGCCTCAAGGTGACAATGAATAAAAATGATGATTTTCTTACTCACGTTGGCACAGTCAACCGAGAATGTGAGAGATTTCGACTCAGGTCCTTAACAGATGATCAATTCAAAGCCTTGATGCTCATATGCAGTCTTCAATCTCTTCGTTTCACAGATATCCGAACTCGACTGCTCAATCAGCTAGAACAAAATCCCAAGTTAACATTACATGACATAGCTGATGAATATCAACGGCTGATTAATTTGCAGAAAGATACACACCTGGTCGAATCAACACCTTCGAGAAGCTCTGATATCCGTGCATTACGAAAAAGAAAAATTCTCATCATCCACTCCCGACCCACCTTCTCTTAATGTCCCGCGGAAATCTACACATACTCGTCCAACTTCACAAAATACTGCAAAGAAGACCCCACCATCACCATGCTGGCATGTGGCGCGTGGCACTTTGTAAAGTCTTGTCCGTACAAAAATCATCGTTGCAGCAAGTGCAAAATCATCGGTCATAAAAATGGTTTTTGTCAGCCACGCAAACTCAGATATCATAATCCAGCGAAAGCTCGACAAACTGTTGGTCCTGAGTCCCCCAAAAAGTCAATGAGTCTAGTTGCAACCTGTCAAGTCACAACACCAGGTATGCGGAAATATCTTGATCTTCAGATAAACGGTCATGATGCACGTCTGCAGCTAGATACCCCTTCTGATATTACTCTTATATCAGAGAAAATTTGGAATAATATTGGCAGACCACCTGTCAGCCACGTCTCGTAAACCGTTAATGCCCAGCTCTTGCTACGCTCGGGCTCACGCTGTCGCTTGAAGTTTCTCAGAAACGCTTAGTAATAACGGACGAGAAAACCAAAACACCAGTTGTTGACTCGAGGATTCTTTATTGTTACACCAACATATAAATCACGTATGACTAAGGTCTGTGAACAAATATTACAATAATAAATCACAATATTACTTCTGACGATGTTTTACTCTTCTTTCTGAACAGCGACCGAT